TGAAAAAGGCAAGAACATAATGGTAGCAGAACCAAAACATGATATAGTTTCAACTAATACCAAGTCAAACATCACATGAATCAAACATATAAGGACTTCTAAATCAAAATGCCAGCAAAAAAGATCAAGATCCAAGGATGTTGTTTGCAACAAAACCATATCAACATCATTCATAAACTGAACAAAATCAAAACAGCATCAAACTTCATAACAGTTGCAAGCAAACCTTCATATGTTCATACATGACATAGAGTAACATTTAAGAGAGCTTCCAAAGCATAAACACAACAACAAACCATATTGTATGATGATCATAAGAGCAATACACATTAATGAGCAAAACAAGCAAAATATGGCAGATTCAAACATGAACTGCATATTGCATTTAAACTCAATCCAACTAATGCACATTAAACATACTCATGACAATTTAAGATGAAGATAGTGACTACCAACCTCTTGTAGACCTCTAAGCAAGCTAATACAGTAGGGAAAACATTGAAGACTTCCCAAATGAGATCCAACCAATGCCTTGATGAAAATACAACTTTTCTTGCACTTGAAGTAAACAAGTGAACTTTAGGACAGAATTCAAAACAAGTGATGATGATGGTATTTTAGGTTATGGACAGTTGGTACATTATAAACCTAAGGTGTTTGGAGGGTTGAGATGATCAAAACAGGTATGAGCAAAGATTTAGCAGATTTTGTGTGTAAAGTAAAACTTTGCTTGGTTGAAAGTTGACTTTTGAGGAAATGAGGTTTTTGACTGGTTTAAGAGCTTAGACACCTCCTACACATCATTTGTGGATTGTGTAGATGATTTGTGATGATTTTAAGTGAGTGGAAATGGTTTTGGAAGGCTAAATGCTCAAGGCAGATTTTTGAGAGGTTTTGGAATGGTTTTCTTCACTTATAAGCAAAGCAAGGTAAGATGAGAGATATGGTTTTCTCTTGGGTTTTAGAGTGCTCTGGTGTGTGTTTCAACATAGAGGAAACCTCTATTTATAGGCAAGGAGTGGTTTGGGGCAAATTTGTACTTTGGCATTTTGGAGGGAGTTTTGTAAATGCAATCTTGTTCAAGATTTATTGCAGCTGTAAGTCCAAGTTCTTGGCTTAAGATGATGCACAAATCAAGTGGAAAGGAAGACATGGAAGTTACTGAAGTGTGTCTAGGAAGTAGGGGAGCTTGTAGTTGCAAGTTACTTCCATAAAGTTTCTCTTTCTTGATTTGTTTGATTAAAATAATGCCACTTGCATACAACTTGCCAAATCCACCAAATCTCTTAATTTTCTGCATTTCTATTCATCATACTCTCTAAATATCATATATAAACATGATCAAATAGATGAGAATAGCTCAAGTGGTTAAAGAGTGAGTTTGTGAAAAAGTGAAAATGGTGAACTCAAGTGTTGAAACCCCAACTTATTGAATTCATAACTCTCAACTCATAAGGGATATGGAGGAGTTCTGGTACATTTTGGAAAGCCCTCATGAAGCTCTACAAGTTCATGTTTTCATGATCTTCAGATTCCGAGTGGAACTAGGTCAAAAATCCACTCAAAGTTGCTAAAAACATGCCTAAAAAGGCCAACAACTTAGAATTTTTCTAAGTGTTTTTTCCCTCTTGTAATGATTTTGGTCATAACTCCAAATCTATGCATTTTCTGCTCATGGACCACTGTGAGACTTTTGTAGGACTTGTCAAGACCTTTCCAATGAGTTTTGAACCAACTCAATTGGATGTGTGGTTAGGGAGTTATGGTCTTGCCCCTTTCAAAACCCTAATTTCCCGATTTTTCGATTACTCCTCAATCCTTGATCCAATGGTCATGAAACTTCATGGATAGGTGTAATATGTTACTAGGAACACTTTTGCTTCATACTTTGAGGTCAAATTCCTTATGATTGAAGAGTTGACTTTTCTGTCGACCGAACGATCGATCGATGACTACTGAGTCGACTGTTGATGTTCCGGGTCTTTTGAGGCCTTGAAACTTCTTGAGTAGACTTCACTAAGCCATATGAACTTCATGGACCATTATTCCACCATTGGAGCACCATTTAAATCAAAAGTCAAACTACAATTGACTTTTCCTAATCTAAAACCCTAATCGGGTATCCTGAACTACACTATTCTAGATCTTTGGGCGACAACCTCAAATTGGATTCATACTTGACCCAATGGAGTATATTTGATGATGTGGAGACTTATTTCATGGATAATCAATCCAATACATTGACTGATTAACCATCGAAACCTCGATTCTCGGCTGTACGAAACCCTAATTCACCTGTATCTTAACAAAGACAAACTTGAAATAGGTTAAGGTTAGATAATCAAATGAATATGACCCTAAAATGATGATGAAGATCTAAGGGGTCAAAATTTGGGGTGCAACAGATGTCATCTGAGTTCTTTAAAGTCAGATACATTGAGAGTCAGGGTGATATATATTATCTTAACTTAAATGAGCATGAATGTTCATGCAGAAAGTGGCAACTAACAGCTCTCCCTTATGTTCATGCAATTTCTGCAATGAAGAGTAGAAGTCTAAGGGTTGATGATTACATCCTAGACATTTATAAGAAGTCAAGGTATCAAACTGTTTATGAGCCTATCATTTATCCTGTTAATGGAACCAATTTATAGGTCAGAATAGAGTACCCAGATGTGCAGCCACAAAAATTAAAAAAATGCCAGGAAGACCCAAGAAGAGGAGGAACTGTGAGCAGTGTGAAATTGATGGTACAAATCAAAAGATGAGAAAAACTGGCATGGTACTTAAGTGTACAAGGTGCAGACAAACTGGACACGATAAATCAACTTGTAAGAGGACTCAACCACCAACTCAAACAACCCAAGCAAGTGCCACACAAGCATCTCAGCCACCATCTCAAACAACTTAAGTAAGTGCAACACAAACATCTTAGCCACCAGCACAAACAACTAAAGCCAGAGCAACACAAGCATCTCAAACAACTTATGCATCACAACAAGGAGGAAGGCCAAATAAGTTACCTGTTAGGAAACCAGCTCATTCATCTGCTACAAAGGGTGCAACACAACCACCTCAAACAACTCAGTCATCTCAGCAAGGAAGGAGGCCAAAGAAGTTACCTGTTAGGAAACCTACTCACTCATCTGTTACTAAGGGTCTAACTACTAGACTTAATGCATCATAAAATGCAGTGGGACCTAAAACTAGGAGGACCATTCAAACAAAAAGAAACAATCCAAAGAAAAACTTTTAGTCATGTATGCATTTGTATGAATTATATGTAATTTCTGTTTTGAGGACACATGTGTTTTAAGACAATGTTTATGCAAGATTTATGTCATGTATGTTTTGAGACAAGATTTATTTCATGTATGTTTTGAGACAAGGTTTATGTAAAGTATCAAGTTTATGTAACGAGTGTCTATTATTTTGAACAAGTTTATGTAACAAGTGTCAAGTATCAAGTTTATGCAACAAGTTTATGTAACAAGTGTCTGTTATTATGACAAGGTTTATCATTCAACATGCAATTATACTTCTATTTTATCATTTAACATTCAACTGGTGCAACTAAATAATGTAACAAAATAATGCCAAAATATTCATATAACATTCATAAAATATTCAAGATTCAACAATGCAAGTTTGAACTGAGATGGTCAACTTTTACATAACACAATAATGAACACAACATAGAACATAACATTGACAACAATAAACTTCCAACTTTTACAACAACTTGAATACTAAAATAAAGAACACAACATAGAACAAAAACTTCCAAATTTTTTTCCACTTAATGGTGTTCTTCAAATCATCTTCTAGCTTCAAATCTTGAGCCTAAACTCTTCAACTTTATTTTTAGCTTCCTCCATCTCTTGAGTTAGCACTTCTATCTTACTTTGTTGTTTCATCATGATTTGCTCATTTTCATCTCTAACTTCTTCATAAAACCATTCAAAGAATCCACAACCAACATTACTATATCCCTGTTGAGATTAAGAAAGAATATTGCAATATAGTAAACAGACATTTCAACAATATTTCAACCAAGAGGGATCAGACTAAAGTTTACCTTAAAATGTTGACAACTCCAAAAAAAAATTCCAATTGTTGACAGTTATTGCCATTCGAAGTACATTAATGTCTCCACAACGACAGAAAGTTTTTCATGGAAGATTCGAGCTGCTAAAGACTTGCGAATCACTTCTGTTTTCGATGATGATGATGAACCGCACCCATAACTCATTATTATTGTAAAAATTGAGACGAATTAGGTTTCAATTTGGGGATTTTGTTGGTCAATTCACGTTAGGTTTCAATTTGGGGGTAAACTGAATGTGTTGTGTGTTTCGGCATCAATGGAGAAGAAGGTGCTGAGTAGACATTCCACCTCAGCTGACACGTCATGGAAACTAACGCTGTTTAGCAAAATTTGACAGAAATTACTAATTTGAATCTGTTGGACAACATAAGGGACCAACTTGAACGTTTTTAAAAAAAGAGAATTAAAATGAACTCAAAAGTATAAGTAAGAGATTAAAAAAGATATTAAGCCTTCAACTTAATAAAATCAATATTGTTATATTAGACACCACCAAAAACCTCGTTTAAAATTTTAAAATTATTACAATTTCGTCTTCGTATAAATAGAAATCTCATATAATAAAGCTTGAAAAAGAAAATACTAATTTAATTATTAATATTGATCCTTTACTTAAAAATTGTTTAAATAAAATAAGACACATTAGGAGACCGAGAAGGTAAACATTCTTTATGCCGGAGTTTAAGAGACGAATGAAAGAATTCTGGGAAGCAGCTAGCCCCACATTATATACACCCCAAGAGGTGAAAAGCGTACGCTAATCCAGTGGGAAAAGCCCGATTCAGTTCTCCACCCACACACTCTGATAACTCGTTACAAAAATATAACCAACCAAACCCACGCTTCACTCACTCTCTCTCCTGGTTCGTTAGGGTTTCTTCCCATTTCTCAAATGGCAGAAGTAATCGCCAACATTGCCTCCGATTCTCTCGACAAATCCCCGTCCTCTTCCGCTCCACCTCCACCTCCTCCACCACCTCCTCCCACCTCATCCGCTGCTGATTCCGATCTCCCCCCGTCTCATCATCCGCCTCCACACCCTTCCTACCGCCGTGGTAGGGACCGCAGAGATGATAGAGATTTCGATCGTCCTCCTAATCGCCGCGATTACTATGAGCGAAACATGTCACCGCCGCCAAAAGATAGAGATAGAGAATTCAAGCGCAGGCGTACTCCCAGTCCTCCGTATCGTGACCGCCGCCATTCCCCACCGCGGCGTTCCCCTCCGCATTACAACTACAAGCGCTCTAGGAGAGGAGGCAGCCCCCGAGGCGGTTATGGGCCCGATGACAGGTTACTGCTTTGTTAGCGTAAAATTGCAGTGTCTAGAGTTTGTTCTTGTTCTGCTATTTCAATTGTCAAATATTGAATTCCATGTTATTGACTACATGCTCCTGTTTAGAATGCTCTGAAAATGAGTCTAGTGGTTTATCATCTTCCGATGGAACCTTTTGGCAGATTTTAGGTCGAAATTATATTATTTTGTTTTCACTTGTAGTTTCAATTTTAATTTACAGAAATGCCACATTTTATTTTGTTTCTTATATTAATTATCAAATAAACCTTTTTTTTTCTTTATTTGTTTATTTTTTTATTTTATGTTTCCATAGCTCTGCTGCACTTCATGTGCTAATGGTAAAAAATCTAGGCGCTTACAATATTTTTATAAATGTTTAGTTATTGGATAATATTAATTTCACTATTGATGTAGATCCAAATGGTTTGGATTCAAAACTTCAATTGCCTGAATTGTTAATATGAAGAATGGTTTGGTATTATGTATGTTCTCATTTTAGAAAAATCATTTTCATGGCAATGTTCTATGAGTTAGTTTCTCTTAATCAGCTGATCTTAGTTCATTTACTTCTATTTCCTTTCTCTATTGTCCAAAGTAATAGGTCATACTTTTCTGATAGTGTTTTCATCATCTTTTTTTTACAGAAGATCCGGGTATGATCATTATGGTGGTTATGATAGGGGTGGAAGAGGTGGTTATGCTGATGACAGGTCTTATGGCAGGTTTGGACACCGTTCTGGAGCAGGGTATCAAAATGGGATCTCTGGTATGTTAGTAGATGCTAATTACTTGGGTTCTTCCATTTTTCTGTCATCCCATTTTTATGCCTAACAAAGCATTAAATCTAGTCTTATAATTATAGTTTTATTTGAACTAAATTATACTGTTGCATTTGGTTCTCTAGTAAACATATCATGGCTTTACAACGTGTAACCAGGCCATACCCAAATGGGCCTGTCAGCAATATATTCAGAATACTTGTTATGTTTCATCGATACCTCCCATCAAACCATGCAAAAGATATATCATTTCCATGGTTGAAAGCCAGAATTATGCCATTTTGAGCCGCCTTAAAATGCCATGATGCTGCCATTTTGTACAAATTTCCCTGGCGTTTGTAAAATAATCAGCCACAGTAATACGCCATGGCAGACATTTAACAAAACTGCCTATCACAACCAAATCAATGATTTAAAATATCAGTTTCTTCTCTTAATGGTTGATAGTCTTGTTTTATTCCTCTAAAGTTAACACCTTTTTTTCTTCCATATTTCCCCTTCTTCTCATTCATTGTAATTTGTTCTAAAGACGGATAATGAGCTTTTCATTTTTTTGCTCTGTGCATTTCTATTTTCAATTTGGCTCTACCTTGATCAAAGTATGTAGCCTTGCTAGTGACATTGGAATTTAAAGCGAAAAGAAATCACATACTTGTTCAAGTATTACCCAGATTTCCGAACAGGATACTTGGTCTTTTTCAGATGAAGATTTTTTTTTTTGGGATTAAGATGACTTATTATGTATATGTTACGATTTTTTGTACTTACCTTATACAGATATGGAATCAAATCGTGCTTACCCAAACTTTCGAAGTAGCGGTGCACAAAGGTCCGCTTTCTAATCTTATTTCTTAGTTGTACCGTTTGATGAATCAATATTACCTTTAAATTGTTGTCTTTAATGGATACATTGTTGATTGGTTCACCACAATGTTTATATGGCTGCTAACAGATATTCCTAAATTAGATTTTATCAAGCCATTTAGATCTAAAGTTTCTTGGCATTGCATTATTGTTGGTGTGCTTTATAGAACAGTTGCTTTATTTATGCGTTCAAACACCAATTGACTACTCATGATACTTTAATACTTAAGTGCATCTACAATTGAGTTTCCTCGGTAACTAATGGAAGTAACACTTATTGAAAACTGTTAATGTACTTGCTTGTTTAATGATTCTAAGTCATCTTTATTTTACTTTGTCTAGCAACTTATCTTTTTGGCATGTTAACATTAGTATATTTATGGCTTGTTTTAGAGAAGGGTTGTTGTCCTATAAACAATTCATTCAGGAGCTTGAGGATGATATACTACCGGCTGAAGCAGAACGTAGGTAAGCTCTGGAAAATACTCTTGCATTATGTCTGAGAATTCAAGTTCTGTAAGAAATTTTCTGATCTTCGTTGACAAATGACTTCTGATTGATTAATTTCATTTTTCTAGGTATCAAGAATATAGATCAGGGTACATTTCTACCCAAAAAAGAGCTTATTTCAATGCTCATAAGGATGAGGAGTGGTATGCTCTAAAGAATTTAGTTTTGAATCTTTAAATGTTCACTATGAAACTACAATTCACCATATTTTTTGAAGTTCACACAATCTGATGTCCTTTTCCATTTCTTGTTTTACCTTTTTATATAGGTTGAAAGATAAATACCATCCGACAAATTTGCTTAAAGTCATTGAAAGGTATTTTATATCAATCTTACTGTTCGAATAAAAACAGAACATATTGTCATGTTAATGGGTCTGTTTTATTTTGGTCGGGGGTGCTTATAAGATAGACAGGTGGATTCTAATTTTTGTTGCTTTATATATTTTAGGAGGAATGAAAGTGCTCAACAGCTGGCAAAAGATTTTCTGCTTGATTTGCAGAATGGAACTATTGATCTGTAAGTTCTTGTCCTCTTTTTTACTTACTCTTGTATTGTATGTGCATCTCTCACTCTGACCTTCCTTTTCTTGCTTATGCATATTTTGTGTTACAATCAATGCAGAAATCCAGGTTTAAGTGCCTCTTCATCCAGCAAATCAGCGCAAGCTAGCGAACCAAATTCAGAGGAGGAAGCAGATGGCAAACGGAGAAGACATGGAAGGGGTTTTAATAAACAAAGTGATTTCACAGCTGCTCCAACGACCCATCCCATCAGTTCTGAACCTAGACGAATACAAGCAGATGTTCAACTGTCTCAGGCCCTTGTTCGCAAGCTTGATGCAGAAAAGGGGATTGGAGATAATATTTTATGCAGCAGTGATCATAATAAAAACAGTGATAAGTCTCACAGTGGATCTGTGGGTCCAGTAGTAATTATACGAGGCCTAACATCTGTTAAGGGTTTAGAGGGTGTTGAGCTTTTGGACACACTTGTTACATATCTATGGCGGATTCATGGTGTAGATTATTATGGCATGATTGAGACTAATGAGGCTAAGGGTTTTAGGCATGTGAGGCCAGAAAGAACAGCACATGAAGAAACAGGTAAGTCAGGGTCAGAATGGGAAAAAAAACTTGACTCATTTTGGCAGGGAAGGTTGAATGGTCAGGATCCATTGGAAGTAATGGCTGCTAAGGAGAAAATAGATGCAGCAGCAGTTGAAGTGTTGGATCCATATGTTAGAAAAATCAGGGATGAAAAGTATGGATGGAAGTATGGTTGTGGAGCCAAGGGCTGCACAAAGCTTTTTCATGCTGCTGAATTTGTGTACAAACATCTGAAGCTGAAGCACACAGAGCTTGCTGTTGAACAAACTTCTAAACTGTGCGAGGATCTCTATACTCAAAATTACATGAAGTAAGTAATAACTAAAACATTCTATGGTTTGTGATCAATATTGCGAGTATTGGCGAAAATCTCACTTATAGTGGCCTTTCTACTGTTGTAGTGATCCAGAGGCTCCCGGTGGAAAGCCTGTCATGCAGCAATCTCAGGTGGACTACTATACCCATCGATGCATGATTTAATAAAACTTATAATGCTCACTGTATGTATGAGAGCCTTTTGGCGTTCAAGTTTTGTTAGTAGTTTATCCTTAATTTGACACTCAACCATTGTGGATGATTTCTGAACAGCTTACCAAACAGTGATATTTTTTAAAAATTTTCCTTTACCTATGTTACACTGTATATCAACCTTTATAAATTTATGGTGCTCTTTTTTCTTTTTTTCTTTCAATTTGTAGGACAAGCCTTTAAAGCAAAGGTTAGGCCTGGAGGGCCGATTGAGAGATGATCGTGGTAATCATCGAGACCATGAACGGAATGACAGAATAAATGGAGATAAACCTGATTCCCCATCCCGTGAAAGGCAGTCTAAAGCACTTGAGATGGGAGACCACAATGAAACAATGTACGACACTTATGCAGGGCATGGTGTACCTCCTTTTGCCTCAGATATGCCTCCTCCGCCAGTATTGATGCCTGTACCTGGTGCTGGGTAGGTTGCCTCTTCCATTTCCCTTTTCACAATCTGATGCCCATTTTTTATTTGCTTTAGATTTTGTGAGTTATTATATAATCTATAACTCTACAGGCCATTAGGACCCTTTGTTCCTGCTCCACCAGAAGTTGCAATGCAGATGCTAAGAGAGCAAGGAGGACCATCTTCATATGATACCTCTGGAAGAACGATGCTGTCTGGCCCTCATATGGGTGGACAGGCACCAATAATTGCTGTAAATCCGGCATTTAGACCAGATCCTCGGCAGATGCGAAGGTAAAGTGTTCTGTGCAATGACCTTTTGTTTAGATGTTTTTATGTGATACCAATCAGCCCCTTCCCACACAAATTTGTGATCTTTCATCTTGAAGTCCTAAATTATCATTGTTTTTTATGTCCTTTTTTGGTGCATAGGTGATTAAAATCGTTAATCAGTTACTTCAATCCTCAGCTCCGCTTATTTGTCATTATAATCTCACATTTTGATTGTTCCTTTATTTGTTGTTTGCTTAAATGGAAACTTCTTTTTATTCCTTTGATATTTTATAGCTAGCCTCTAAGTTAAGAAACAAAAGTATGTGCCTGCTTACATCCCGAACATGACCGACACTGATAATAATTAAAAAAAAATTATACATAATCACAAGTGCCTGCTACTACCTAAGAGCGCAGATATCAAGTTTTTGTTTTTGTTTGCAATTAATTGACAGAGGTCAAATTTTTATTTGTTGTGTAATTAACTTTGTATGATTTACTTTTTTTTTATTTTGCTAATGATGGTGCAGTTATCAAGATTTGGATGCTCCAGATGACGAGGTCACTGTGATAGACTATCGGAGTTTGTAAGTGTCTTACGGTGACTGGTTTTCTTAAACTTCAGTGAGATGGCCAATGTCCATGCTGCCAGCAGAGTTGAGAGCTTTATTGATGTTTTGGTGGGACCATGCTCGTTTTCTTCTGCAAATTTTTAGGATGAAAATTTATACTCTTTTGCGGAAATTTGTCCCCGGGAATACTCATTTTTATGGGCGGAGAGTATTGTTTTTGTGAGTAATGGCAATAATCAATAACAATCATCCGTTTTTGGATTGAGTAACAGCAACGAATTGGATATTTTTTCAAATACAAAATGTGCATGCGTTTGCTGTGACATGCCAAATTGCAAAACACCTTCCTCTGGCTTTTTTTCCATCATCATATGAATGTAACAGGTACAGAATAACAAGTCTTTCTTCACTACAAAGTTGCTATATCAATTTTCAAAAGATATTGATTCCAGGTGGTAATCATGTTTTCAAATTAAAACTAAATAATATTTAGATATTACTAGAAATCCCTATCGGGTAAGCAAGATAAAATTAAAAAAACAAATACCTAGGTTGTATTCAAATTCTTTGAAATTAGGTAACTGAAAATACCTAGGATTTTAAGGGAAGTTATTTGAACAATTTAGAAAAATCACATTACCTCATCGAAATTTTCATGTTGAATCTAATGGTTATGCTAACTCCACTTCTTTGGGTGGATCACCTCCACCGGCCTAGGGCTTTTTCACATTGCCATTCCTCTTTTTTATTTAAATTTTATATTATTATTATTTTATTATTTTTATTTTTTATTTATTTATTTTTATTTGGCACCACACATAATTTTATAATTCTAAAAATGTTCTTGTTAAAAATTTAAATCAAATTCGAGTAAAAGTTTCTGTAGGCAATTCCAAAATTCCGGTATAGCCAGAATTTTTGGTAGTGTATTCAAAATATTTGGTATGTACTAATTTTGGAATTTTTAAAAATTTCGAGACAATTGTAGTTTTATTATTATTTTTGAAAGTTACCACATCATACTTGAAATTTCAACTAAAGTGAAATTTTCGATAGTTTAATTTTATAAAATTTAAAACATTAAGATTTTTTTGACAGTTTTGGATGGTTGTGCTTGCGCCGGCTGTATTGTGTGGTTTATAATGAGTTCAAAGTTGTATAAATAGGGAGCACCTGTTTTTGAGAAAAACATTTCAAAATACCTCTTTAATTTTGGTTAAGGCAGAAGTGTATTTCAACGGAGTTGCGCTTCCTATAGAGTTCTGACTTCCTGATGACACCACATTTCTCCTCGCCTTGACATCCAAGTTGAATGACTTGTTGTCTGATATTGATAACATAGAGGTGAAAAAGGTCGAGTTTCGTGAAGATTGAATTAATACTAATGGAAGGGTGAAATACAATTTTATTGAGTTGAAGATCGACAAAAATTTGACGGTTATTTGAGATCACTTTTCCGTAGGCTAACAAGGGATCGATCGAGTTAGATGCGAAGATTTCAAGATCTATCGACGAGATAACTAAGATGCTGAAACGTTCATAATCATCTGATAGTGTTTAAGTTTTCTTATTTATTATTGCTTTCTTAAGTTATGTAATTATTTGTCTAAGTTGTGTAACCTTTTGTCAAATGTTAAATTATGTTCATCATGCATTAATAGAAGATTCAAAACATTATCTAATTAAAAATGTTGTGCAAATGTCCGAGTAATGTTACACATAATATACAAATAATACATAAAATAATAATAATGTCTAAATAGGCCCCCCCACAAGCTATGTGTGCTGCTAGCAATAATCCAGTAAAAATCTCACCATCTAGGCTTACCAAATCCACGAGGTTATCCATAATAACTACAATCATCTGCAGGCGTTGCTGACCATCAACGTCAGTTGGAGATGGTGGCGACACATCATCGACAGGTACCCCAGCATCAGAAGACCCATCATCATTCGTATGCTCAATAGGTGGGATGCCGCGATGGTGTGAAACAGTGAGGTACCACTTTAGGTAACCATCCTCACACTGCGAGTCATGCTGAACCCTCACTAGTACCTATAATGGCAAGAGCAGAGATGTTACTCTGAAATCACCTATCAATGCCCGCAGTTGGAACATCCAGAACTGGTCATGGGATGCCGTTGATATAACCACACTGTCGTAGACACCTCTTAGGTAAGCGTCTAGCAACTAAGGTCTCCCACCACATATAACAAAAAAGTAAAGAAGACTCTTCAAACTCATGGTGGATTCCATGACCTATGTATGGTGTCCAAATGACATCATATACAGTCAGCGCATCAAGCCTCCTTCTGTATTCCGCAACACCACCTAGATGTGCTTTCCTGACCTTCCATCTTCTCGCTCGTGGGGTGTCTGTAGAGGTATGTTGCACCCTCCCGTCACAGATGGTGGAGAAATACTCGTATATGTAACACTGATAAAAAAACACAGGCACAACAAATAATAATTAATAAATGTTATCCGTAAAAATTAAATAAGAACCAAACTACAAATAAGAATTTCCAGTATACCTGGAATAAACTCAAATAACAAGCAAGCTATCTAGTCTCAAAGGTAGTCACAACTACAAGTTTCGTATATAGGATGGTCAATGCAGCGCACCCCCAAGCCCAACTGGTATCGTCAAGGCTACTGAATAATCACATGTACCGAGCGTCAATATACACATAAAACTTATTCGTAAAGGGAGTACATGCTACTAGATGTAGCATGTACACCCTAGAGGCAACCTCATACATATGTGCCTCCACAAGCTCATTGTACCTATCCCAAAGCCAAGACAACTGAAGATGAACTCCTCTGTTAAAATCAAACTCTTATAACAAGTTTTCTAATCTGCCATTGTAGTAATAAAAAGGTGAAATCCTCAGTATCGATCTCAAAGACTGCTTGACGATATAGAGTTCTGGATTAATTTCAATTAAACAAAAGCTTGGAGTTTTTGGGATTGTTTGGTAAAATTATAAAAGCAATTGCGAATAAAGTACATAAAGTGCGTGAACGGTGAAAACAAATATGAGTAGTATTCTAGGGAAGGTGTATGATACAACCATGTAACGATTCCGAACAAACAGTGCAACAAAGTATTTCAAATAATTGATATCTACTATAATATATTCTCAAACAGATCATGAACAATGTCGGCCCAACCTAATTGTATCACATACATCAAACTCCGTTTGTCCGATAGAGAAAGCAATAAAAACACTAAGAGAACAAATCAAATATAAGAAAACAAGATCGTTATTGCATATATATAATCGAATTCATTACAAATCAGAATCAGGGACATTCCCTAGCAATAGCTACTCATAATAACAAAGAAACATGGGAAAAATTATTGTCATTAGAGAAATCTTAGATGAATAAGTCTTCAATCGCAGAAAGCTCTTGAAAATTCAAATCCACCTTGAAAATCTGAGTTCTCCAACCTTTAGAACGTGTTTTTGCTCTGTAAAACCTCCAACCTTCAAAAAATCGTGTTTCCGAGTTAAATAGACATGTTTTCAGCTTCCTGAGTTTTTGGGCTTCATTACGCGTATTTAACTGCCTGTTACGCGTATGGCCTTGTTCCTGCACCATTACTCTACGCATAAGCCTCCCAGACCTGCTCTTACGCGTAATTCCCTACTTGTTACGCGTATGGGAAGAAGCGTCTTTTTTACACCCTTCTTTTGGAACTCGTATCATACGAGTAAGGGAGCCCGTCATTACGCGTATTGGCTTGGTGTTACGCGCAAGGGCAACAAATGTTGTTTTTTTTTCTCTTTTTTGCTCTACCTACTCGCTCTGGCCCGATCTTGCGCTCGATCCTCGATCCCGTGTAACTTCTCTTTTTTTCTCTTTTTTGCTCTACCTACTCGCTCATGAGGCTGCGAAATTGGGAAGTTGTGAATGTAAAACTCTACTTCAACGTGATTTGTGAAGTTCGTGCCGGTGGCTTAGATTTATCCTAGATTCGCCATATATCCAAAGGTCGTGGAATGCACAAGGGATCCCTCTTAAGGAAATGAAAGAAGATGACAAATCCAACATCAGGTATAGAAATGTTTACATGTTATTGCTGCTAGAACTTTGTCATAATTGCATGAACCGACTTTATCTTAAGCACCTCAATTTACGTGATCGTAGTATTATCCCATGATACACTCTTTTTCTAATCATTTACTATCATGGAAGCGCACGGGATAGGTTCGATGAAAAGCCATTGTACCAGGGGCGTCAAAAGTCCTCCATTCAAGTTGTTCAGGCAAACTTGGGAAAGAGCAATCACATGAGAATTATACACAGTTACTAGTTGTTTTAAATCCTGGTTGTCATTCTGATTCCATTCGAATCAAATTTTGTCTTGCAAGTATGTACCGACAATGTGTGGCATTCCTTTTGATGCAGGTTTCGCAAAGAAAGTCACTTTAGGAACAAAAATCCTGCTCTTCACTTCGTTACTGCTGCAGAGGTTGGGTGATCGACGACGTTGCGGCTACGCGCGACACCGAAAAAACTGTGGTGAGTTTTCTTTATCCAATCACCTTTCCTTAACATTCTTGCTTCCATTTTTAGAATGATGCTCAAACTCTTGGCAATTTGCAGGGACTATTTGCCACAAAAGAATTCTGCTATGGCGAACCGTCAACCTGCTAGCTGCGATGCCAGGCTCTGTTAGTTTCCAAATAAGAACAAGATAAACACTTGTTGCCATGAAAATATGAATCTCAACTAGTGTTCTTGCTTTGTATCCAAGTTCAACTTGTAGGACTTGATTCACATTTCATAGCGATGGTTAACTTTAAGAATCCAGTATTGTTCCATTTGGACTTTCATGAGATGTTCTTACTTTCGGTTGATGTACTTTTGTCATTGAAGTGTAAATAAACATTTATCTTTGAATTTCTATATCAAACAATCCTTGAGTTAAAATACTCATGTCCATAGTTCACAAATTTTTATGACACCTTGAATTTGCGAGGAAGGTAATAAATCCATGTTTTTGGCAT